AATAATTTACCTTTACAGAGTTCTTTACAAATTCCCTTAGTAGTTGATACATCCTTTGCATTTTTCTTTAAGGGAATCAATGCTTTGCTTTTCCAATTAGGCAACTTCCTAAGAATTATCATCATATGATGGCTTGTTCCATGTGGCAAACTCTGAATATTTAATGGTAAAAATGCTTGGCTCTATTTGACCTCTAAAAATACTGCCAAAGCTGAACTGTACATTTTGTTAAAAACCACCTGTCCACGAAACAACTTTTGGGTTCACACATAATGTATGTGTATATGCATTAAAATACACAATGCCTCTTCTGCTGTTACTTTTAATAGCAACACTCCAACAAGATATAAAAGAGCCCCACACACTTCTTTCCAAATACTTGCTCTCAACTGCCTCCTTATTTTGCCTACCTTGTAATACTACAGCTTTATAACCTCAACCCTGCTGAACCGGGAACCAAAATCCAAAACAGGCAGTAACTTGTAAAAAATGTAAAAAACATTACAGTCAGGGTTTTTGGTGAGACTTTAATTCAACTTTACAAGTTGGAAATTCACCATATTTCACTGCTGCTGGATTCTGAAAGCTCAGCGCACAGACATCCTTAATGAAATTTAAATTTATGATATTTCACTCGCAGATTCTACATCTTGATAGGCCGATAGCCAGTCACTTGGTTTTCAATAGTTTTGCTATCTCACGGTGCACAGCCAAAAGAAATAAACCTGTTGTAATCAAATTGCTACAAGACACTAAAGGAACATACATGTATATGCATGATCAGCGACATTGTGTGATACGAACTGGTGTGCGTGTCACGCCCATTTCAAAGTGTTAGCACCAAAGAACTGGGTACAAATTTTCAAACAGAATTTCTTATTCAAATAGATGCACCTTTCATTTGGATTGAATTTTTCAGTTATCTCTTCAATCAAGTAGAATCTGTGAAAAATGTGTCCTAAAACAAATATTGAATGTTTCATCTCATGGTGTTGGACAGATATAAGTGGCCGTCTGAGATGATCCACGAAGCATTCTATTTTCTCGAGGTGAGAAAGCAGAGGGAAATATCTGCCTCGAGGAGAAACACCCCTCATGGGTTGACAGGAGCCATGCTTTTATGAGGAATGTGCATTGTGTTGATCGTGATGTGACTGCAACACCTGTATTTTTACACTCGTACATAATCCAGAGCACTGTAGTTCTACCAAATGAGCCTCAGGTACTTGTCAAATTGCGCCCTCTTTTGATCCCCCTCGAGGCAGATAAAATGCTGCACGGATCAGTGATGGAAGCTGGTTTTATACCACCACAAAGCCATCAATAGGTGTACTGTTTAACTTCCTGGATATTACCGACTCCATTCTAAGTACCCTCTAGAACAATGCAGAGAGACATTAGACAGATATACCCACAAAGTCATAACACATCTAAATAGCTGTGCATTTTGTGCCAATTCAAATGAAACTGGGTGCTCTGTAACATAAGCTGGATGTGATGTGAACCACTTGGTCAGGAAATGTATATGTACATGTATGTAGACACATACTAGGACATACAGGTATTTACTTCAGATGAGTGGATATAATACAGTTTATAAGCAGACAAAAATACTGGTGTGTTTGCACGCCTCAGTCAGAAGGAATTTATTCATCACATTGTAACGCGAATGTCTGGTGACCCTTTAAACTCTAGAGGAATGGCAGCGGGGTAACTGTCAGGGGATTGACAAGGTGTTTTTAGTGAGTG